GGAACAGGTGGCTGATGAGGGGGTGAGATCAGGAGAGGAAACAAAAGGATCCGGGGAAGCGTCGTGCAGATGACGAGACAAACAGGTGAAGACGAAGACTGTGACATCACTCCCCCCTCCCGGTAGGCGTGACCTCACGCCGTAACATCAGCGGGGAGGGGGGGTGGGCGCCCTGGAGGCTGTGGAGGACGTGGTCAGGCGCAGGCAGCCCCCCCAGGGCGGAGCAGGATGAGGGCGTGGCCCGGGCGGAGCAGGATGAGGGCGTGGCCAGGATGGAGCAGGATGAGGGCGTGGCCAGGGCGGAGCAGGATGAGGGCGTGGCCAGGGCGGAGCAGGATGAGGGCGTGGCCAGGGCGGAGCAGGATGCGAAGACCCTTCGGGTGGCCACGGCGGAGAGAGCCCTTCAGGAGGCCGTGGCGGCGAGAGCCCTTCGGGCGGCCACGGCGGTGAGAGCCCTTCGGGAGGCCACGGCGGTGAGAGCCCTTCGGGAGGCCACGGCGGTGAGAGCCCTTCAGGCAGCCGTGGCGGTGAGAGCCCTTCGGGAGGCCACGGCGGTGAGAGCCCTTCGGGCGGCCACGGCGGTGGGAGCCCTTCAGGCGGCCGTGGCTGGGACACTGGCCCCCCCCAAAAAATATTTGGGTTGAGGCCCCGGGTGAAGGGCAGATGGGGAGTGGATGGTCTCGGGCTGGACGGTCTGGACGGTCTCGGGCTGGAGGGTCTGGACGGTCTCGGGCCGGACGGTCTGGACGGTCTCTGGCCGGACGGTCTGGCCGGTCTCTGGTTGGACGGTCTGGCCGGTCTCTGGCTGGACGGGCTGGACGGTCTCTGGCTGGACGGGCTGGACGGTCTCTGGCTGGCCGGTCTGGACGGTCTCTGGCTGGACGGTCTGGACGGTCTCTGGCTGGACGGTCTGGACGGTCTCTGGAGGGCTGGACGGAACCAGCAGTGACGAGCACACAGACTCTGGAGGGCTGGACGGAACCAGCAGTGAAGAGCATATAGTCTCTGGAGAGCTGGACGGAACCAGCAGTGAAGAGCATACAGTCTCTGGAGGGCTGGACGGAACCAGCAGTGAAGAGCATACAGTCTCTGGTGGGCTGGACGGAACCAGTAGTGAAGAGCTTACAGTCTCTGGTGGGCTGGACGGAACCAGCAGTGAAGAGCTTACAGTCTCTGGTGGGCTGGACGGAACCAGCAGTGAAGAGCTGACAGTCTCTGGTGGGCTGGACGGAACCAGCAGTGAAGAGCTTACAGTCTCTGGTGGGCTGGACGGAACCAGCAGTGAAGAGCTTACAGTCTCTGGTGGGCTGGACGGAACCAGCAGTGACGAGCGTTCAGTCTCTGGATGGCTGGACGGAACCAGCAGCGAAGAGCATACAGTCTCTGGAGAGCTGGACGGAACCAGCAGTGACGAGCATAAAGTCTCTGGAGAGCTGGACGGAACCAGCGGTAAAGAGCATACAATCTCTGGAGAGCTGGACGGAACCAGCGGGGAAGAGCATTCAAACTCTGGAGAGCTGGACGGAACCAGCGGCGAAGAGCATTCAATCTCTGGAGAGCTGGACGGAACCAGCGGTGAAGAACATTTAGTCTCTGGAGAGCTGGACGGAACCAGCGGTGAAGGGCCTTTAGTCTCTGGAGAGCTGGACGGAACCAGCAGTGAAGGGCATTCAGTCTCTGAAGAACTGGACGGAACCAGCGGTGTAGAGCATTCAATCTCTGGAGAGCTGGACGGGACCAGCAGTGAAGGGCATTCAGTCTCTGAAGAACTGGACGGAACCAGCGGTGTAGAGCATTCAAACTCTGGAGAGCTGGACGGGACCAGCGGTGAAGAGCATTTAGTCTCTGGAGAGCTGGACGGAACCAGCGGTGAAGAGCCTTTAGTCTCTGGAGAGCTGGACGGGACCAGCGGTGAAGAGCATTTAGTCTCTGGAGAGCTGGACGGAACCAGCAGTGAAGGGCATTCAGTCTCTGAAGAACTGGACGGAACCAGCGGTGTAGAGCATTCAAACTCTGGAGAGCTGGACGGGACCAGCGGTGAAGAGCATTTAGTCTCTGGAGAGCTGGACGGAACCAGCGGTGAAGAGCCTTTAGTCTCTGGAGAGCTGGACGGGACCAGCGGTGAAGAGCATTTAGTCTCTGGAGAGCTGGACGGAACCAGCGGTGAAGAGCCTTTAGTCTCTGGAGAGCTGGACGGGACCAGCGGTGAAGAGCATTTAGTCTCTGGAGAGCTGGACGGAACCAGCGGTGAAGAGCCTTTAGTCTCTGGAGAGCTGGACGGGACCAGCGGTGAAGAGCATTTAGTCTCTGGAGAGCTGGACGGAACCAGCGGTGAAGAGCCTTTAGTCTCTGGAGAGCTGGACGGGACCAGCGGTGAAGAGCATTTAGTCTCTGGAGAGCTGGACGGAACCAGCGGTGAAGAGCCTTTAGTCTCTGGAGAGCTGGACGGAACCAGCGGTGAAGAGCCTTTAGTCTCTGGAGAGCTGGACGGGACCAGCGGTGAAGAGCATTTAGTCTCTGGAGAGCGGGACGGAACCAGCAGTGAAGAGCGTTCAATCTCTGGAGAGCTGGACGGAACCAGCGGTGAAAGCTCGGGCTCGGCAGGGCTGACGGGGAGCGCCGGCTTTCTGGGGACAAGCATCAAGCGGGGGCGCCGAAACGGGAGTTCATGCTCGGGAGGACTGGACGGAACCAGCCGGGCGGAGAGTCTATGCTCGGGAGAACTGGACGGAACCAGCGGAGCGGCGAGTGCACACTCGGGAGGGCTGGACGGAACCAGCGGGGGAAGCTCGGGCTCGGCAGGGCTGACGGTGAGCGCAGGCTTTCGGGGGACGAGCATCAAACGGGGCCGGCGAATCGGGTGTAGAACCCCCTGGAAGATCCCGGCGTCCATGTTGCTTCTTGGTCAGTCGATCTGTCACGGGGTGTGGTGCAGGGGTGCAGGAGTGCAGGACGAAGGAGCGGGAGGAATCCAGATTGACATCAAACACGAATTTATTATAAACATACGGCAGGAAGGCAGGTAAACAGGAGCACACATCGGGTAACATGAACATCGACTGACAAAGACAGACTGAATCAGATGGAACTAAATAGACAGAGGAATCAAACTAAATGGAGTGCAAACAGGTGAAAATGATGACGAACAGACGAGGAACAGGTGGCTGATGAGGGGGTGAGATCAGGAGAGGAAACAAAAGGATCCGGGGAAGCGTCGTGCAGATGACGAGACAAACAGGTGAAGACGAAGACTGTGACAGAATGTGCTTCCCAGAATGTTATATCCAATGCAAATGCTACCACTTAGGATCACTAGAAAGGCATTTTTAGGTATAGAAAGAGCTCTCTCAAAGTTCATATGGCACGGAAAGAGACCTAGATTAAAGATGAAAACTTTACAATTACCCATTAATAGAGGGGGTCAAGCCCTTCCCAATTTTTTGTATTATAACTGGGCTTGTCACGCACGCATAATATCAGGCTGGCTCAATCAATTTCTCCATCAGGAGGGAACCTCAGTGGATGCCTGGTGCTGTGCCCCTTTCTCCCCTATCAGTCTTATTTCAATTAACAAAGGTGAAATCATGGCAGAGGTTAAAAATAATCCCATCATGCTTAACACTCTAAAGACTTGGCGTGATATCACTAAACATGTTGGTCGGAGAGGTTTTTCATTAGCATTACAACCTATAACCCAAAATAAAGCTTTCCCTCCTGGTGTGGGGAAAAGTATTTTCAATTTTTGGTACTCAAAGGGGCTTCGATTCATGGGTAATTTATTTGAAAATAATAATTTTATGTCATTTTCACAACTTCAAAATAAATACCAAATACCACACAACCACTTTTTTGGTTTTCTTCAGGTTAGACACTTTATACAGTCCAGTCTTGTACTCCCAACAAACCAGTCAATAGAGAGTCCACTTGATGACCCCCTCCTTACTTTTAATTTTCAATTGCTTCCAATAATAGAAAATTTATCTCACTTTTTTATGGAAAACTGTACTCTCCTAATTGTGACAATGTTAACAAAACTAGGGAATCATGGGAGAAGGATTTGGAGATGGATCTTGATATTGATATCTGGTTAGATGCATTTGAATCTGTTAAGAATCTGTTTATGTGTAATAGACTTAGAGAGAGTCAGTACAGGATATTGCACAGATTGCAGCGCACTCCTCATTTTCTAAACAAGATCCACCCTCAAGTTTCTCCCTTCTGTAGGAAATGTAAGAAAGAAGTAGGGACTTACTATCATTGTATTTGGCAGTGTCCCTTAATACTCAGGTATTGGAAGAATATTTCTCAGGAGCTAAGTTCAATTTTTCACAAAACGGTTAAATCAGAACCAGTCTTGCTCCTTCTGAATCTACAGCTAGAGCAGCTCTCTCTATCTGCAGGGCAACGGGTGTTGATGGGTAAACTCCTTCTTCTAGCAAGGCGTTGTGTTTTGTTCCAGTGGATTGAGGAAAAACCTCCCTCGGTCACACAGTGGTATAGAGAAATATTTAAGGTTTTTCCTCTGGAACGCCTCAGTGCCATATTAAGGGGCAATGCCAATTTGTTTTATAATGTTTGGCAACCTTTTCTTGACCACCTTCCTAGTGATCTTGCTAATTTGCTGCAGGACGGGAGACCACATTTTGTCTTCACCAAGAAGTTATAAATTCTTTTGAATAGTTGAATAGTTGAGTATTTTTTATTATTATTATTTTTTTTTATATATATATATATATATATTTTTGTATATGTATGTGTTTTGTTGTAAACAATAATGTACATTATGTCATGGAACTTGATGTGCAATCTATGTGTGTGAATAATTTTACCCCTGTTTTGTATGTTGGTAACAGCTGGGCTTGTTTGTTTATTGTTTGTATAAAATCAATAAAAAAAAAGTAAAAAAAAAAAATATATATATATTTTCTGTCGAGTTGGATTAATTGAATGTATCTTTTTCTGAATAAAAATAAGAATTTCTATAAAAACCATCATCTTACCATCATCCACAGCATATAGGGTTGCTCTATAGGTGCCATTTATCCCAAATGGCGACTCTCTGTCCAGAATTTTATTCGTGGATACTAGTCCAGTCTTTGCATCAACAGTTATCCACCCATCAATATCTTCACCTTTAACGAATCTGAGAAACGAAGAAACACTAGATGAATTCACCTTTGTTTATCTGTGATCCTGTACCTCCAATAAACTACAGTGGCATTAGTTTTATACACATTATTAGCATCTCGTACTTAAATGTGTTTATATGGCTTCCATCCATGTCTTTAGCAGTGAAGGTTGCAAGACTTGTTCCTGCTGCTATGTTCTCCATTATGTGAACGTGTTTAACAGAGGGTGTAAATACTGGAGGGTCGTTGACATCTTCAACATAAATGGTTACTGGAATGGTATTATAGAGGTTTTCAACACTCATGCCAGAGTTTTGAGGTATTTTGTTGAGCTCCCACATAGCATTCGGCACTTGCTTTTTGACCTTACATGAAAAGTAAGGAATTTCGTTCTGCACACTGATGGATAGATTTTGGTATGATTGCTCCTCATAGTCCATTTGCTAGGTGTTGGAATGTAGGAATGAGCCAAAAAATAAAGATAGTTTAGAGAGGTGTCAACATGAATGTATGCATAATATATTTCTTACATCAACAAAACAGTTTGCCTACCTTAACAACTGTTAAAATCCCCTCGTTTGTATTAGGGTCTGTTTCAATTTTGAATTGCTCCCTTTTATCTCCATGGATAGTGTATTTGGCTTTCCAGGCTTTTGAACCACGTTTGTCTTTGTCTGTTACTTGCAGTCGCAGAACTTCAACTTCAGTTTCCCGCTCCTTGACCTTCCCAGGTCCCTGAAACACAAGTGAAATATTTGGTTACGTTTTATATAACAACCTGTATTAAAATATATATATATATATATATATATATATATATATATATATATATTTAACAAGAATATCACAAGCATTAAAACTTGAAAACTTCAATGTCCAATGTGAAACGAATTGGTTACCTAATGTAACCTCGGTTCTCTCTAGATGAGGGAATGAGTATTGCGTAAGTTTAGCTTACGCTACGGGAAAGATTCATCTTCTCGAGATATTATCCTTAATTTTGTATCTATTGTCAACAGAGTGCAGCAGCTAGCAGACCTAGAGAAGGCTGTCTAGGGTGCTCATTGGCTGCCCTGCGGCAACTGCAGCAGCCTACCACTAAGCCCGACGTGACGCCACGTCCAATGAAGGGCGTGCATGCCCTCAACGCGCCCTAGCCCTTGGAATGGGCGTGGCTTAGCGTATATAAGCGGGGCTCGGAGGCTGAATCTCTGGTTTTCATCGACTGAAACGAAATAGCGCTCGTGGCACGAGCATGGCAGGTTACGCAATACGAGAGATCCTCTCATAAGTGAACGTATCGGTTACCATATAACGTAATCTCGATTCTCTCTAGATGAGGGAACGAGTATTGTGTAACTTGCCGTGCTCCCTGACCGGGCAGAGGAGATTAACATCGCTCTCACTATCAGATGCTGGCAGAGCCCATAGGGAAATGACCTGAAATGAGCCAATCACTTATCCATATCTAGGTTTGAGTCTAACTTTAACTTTAGTCATTTGGTCCAAACGCAAGACACGCAGCACTGACAAGCGTGTAAGTCCCCCGCACCTTTTACTGATGACAGTGTGATCAGAAAAATGGTTTTCAATAATAGGTATTTTAAATCCACAGAGTCTAAAGGTTCAAAGGCGTATGCTTTCAGGGCCTCCAGAACCAAATCCCACATAGGAACTAAAGGGGGACGCGGGGGATTCATTATCCTGGCTCCTCTAAGGAAGTGGATGACAAGCTCATTGCTTCCTATTGAATGGCCGTGCGTAGATTCTGAGAAGACTGCAATGGCTGCCACATAGACTTTAAGCATGGAATGGGACCTTCCCTCGTCCAGCAGCATTAGAAGAGTGGAGCCTCACGGAGAAAGGTGCATTCCACGATTAAGCAAGCTCCGAGTGAAGCTCTGGGAGGAAGGGCACAGGCCTGGCTGAGGGCACTTAATGGCTCCTTAGGCGGTGACCACTTAAGTAAGGGTTAATGCCCGACGAGGTGTCCATTGTCAGGTTTTAATGGACGACGGCGAGGCGTAAACCGGCCGACGCGCAGCGGAGGACGGTTGCCTCCGCCGAAGTCCATTAAAACCTGACAATGGACACCTCGGAGGGCATTAACCCGCTTATACCATGGTCACTTGCCAAATAAAACATTTTTAAAACATTAGTTTATATTTTAATTAGGCTAAATCTAGTTTTTACAAATAATAACTTGCCTTGCCTGACTGTTTATTTAGCAACCGGAGATATTTATAGTCCGCTTAGCTCGTATCCCTTCAGGTTCACAAATGCTTTTTTTTTTTTCATGAAACACAAAGGTAGGTAGGCATAGTTTTTTTTTTATTACACATAAAACAATTAATCAAACAACAATAAAAAAACCTCCAGCGATTTGCGCTTAACGTTATGGGCAATAAATTAATCAGATCAAAGAGAGGGTCATTTGCCTCAGGTTCCTTAGGCTTGAAACGCTGTAACGTTCAGCCTTCTCCTGCCTTGGTTGTCTGGACAGCTGCGTAAAACTCCCGCAGGGTCTCTCTCATTCAGGGGTGCGTTTCCCGAAAGCATCGTTATCCAACTATGGTCGCAAGTTACGTCGTTACCAATAGCGTTCAATGGAGCAGAGCAGCAGCGGTGTAATTTTCTCCGTTTTATTTACATTTTTTCTTTCTTAAGCAGCATACCAGTCGTCAAAGTTGCCATATTCTCCATAAATGTTAAAAGAAATAGCAAGTCGCTCATTGTTGTATTAGGCTATAATATCTAACGTTAGATGATAGAGCATGTGACTGCCTGTTGCTATGGTTACTCACAGCCGTTGTAGGCAGCGCATTTATTTATTAATTTCGAATGGTAAACAGGCAGTTTCACCAGAACTACTTTACTAGGTGTCCTCTATCACTTTTTAACGGACACCCTGAAGCCAATCAGAATCGAGTATTCACCCAGACCATGGTATAAGACGAGTCAATGGCCTGTGAAAGGAGGCGAATCAGCTCAGCGTCCACTCCCGTGTGGGTCCTGCCAGATTCCTGGATCCAGGAGGAGGCGGAGTGATTGGAACTCAACCAATCCTCGCTGTCCGTAGCCAGAATGGAACAGCTGTCTTCTGCGACGAGTCCTTCCGCCTCATCATCAGATGAGACGGCACAGTGGGCCAGTGGCTGCGCATCGGTGAGGGGGGACGGAGAAGGCGAGGGTGAGGCTTGAGGGAGGGACTCCGGTGAGCGATTCGCAACGGCTACAGGCTCCGGCGGCCTTTGAGAACGGCGCTTCTACCAGCGCGGTCCTACAAAGGGTGGAGAGACAGCTTCGGTGGTGACAGCTTCGAGTCGAGCCCACAGGGTTGAATCTTCTCAGAATTCAGCGATGCGGAGAGCTTCACTGATAAATGCTAAGCCACGCCTATTCTGGCAGGCTAGGATGCGTTGAGGGCGCGAGCGCCCTTCATTGGACGTGACGTCACATCTGGCTCAGTGGTAGGCTGCTGCAGTTGCCGCAGGGCAGCCAATGAGCACGCTAGATAGCCTGCTCTAGGTCTGCTAGCTGCTGCACTGCGTTGAAAATAGATACAAATTTAAGGATGATTTTTGGCTTCAATATCTCGAGAAGATGAATCTTTTCCATAAGGTAAGCTAAACTTACACAATATGGGAGAACCTCTAATAAGAGAACCTACTGTTTTGCCAGAGAACCCTGGAAGATTGTTGTTTTCGTCGAAAATATTGATTATCACTGTACTTGTACTTGACAATTGTATCTTTTCCCCTTTGTCCTTTGCTTCAACCAGGATTGTATATGTCTGAGCTTTCTGGAAAAGATTAATTAAGTAGATTTCTTTTGTAGGAATGAATACATATTAATAAAGCACAAATAGGAATGCATATTATCTGAATGAAATGTAACAGGTAAATAATTATTACCAATGAAAGAAATTAGTTTCATACCTCATAGTCCAAACACCCTCTAAAATAAACTGTCCCATATTTTTGTCCTTTTTGCTGCTGAATATAAAATTCAACATTATCTTGTTTTGGTGTGAAAGACTTTATTGTTAAATCAAATGTTCCATTGTTTGTACTTGAATCATCTCCATCAGTTGCCAGTACTCTCAGTACTTCTTTACCTAGGAAAAAATGTGCTACATGAATGTAAAGTAATTTCTTCACCCTCCAAGTATTTATTTGATATTGAAGGATATTTCACCTAGACCTTATTTAATCTCTTATGTTGTTTCACACCTGTATGCTGTTATTAATGTTGTACTACAGAATCCAATCCTATCTGGACATGATTTCACATTGTATTTATATTGTCTCATACAATTGGATACAATCGTACAATTACATCTGTAATGACATCTAGACGCCTAAATTTAACTGTTGACCCCTTAAACCTACCCATACTTCCAAACCTTAAAAATGCACTTACCTAAAGGATTATTAGGAACACCTGTTCAATTTCTCATTAATTCATTTATCGAATCAACCAATCACATGGCAGTTGCCTCAATACATTTAGGGGTGTGGTCCTGGTAAAGACAATCTCCTGAACTCCAGACTGAATGTCAGAATGGGAAAGAAAGGTGATTTAAGCAATTTTGAGCATGGCATGGTTGTTGGTGGCAGACGGGCCGGTCTGAGTATTTCACAATCTGCTCCGTTACTGGGATTTACAGGCACAACCATTTCTAGGGTTTACAAACAATGGTGTGAAAAGGGAAAAACATCCAGTTTTTCGGCAGTCATGTGGGCAAAAATGCCTTGTTGATGCTAGAGGTCAGAGAAGAATGGGCCGACTGGTTCAAGCTGATAGAAGAGTAACTTTGACTGAAACCACTCGTTACAACCCAGGTATGCAGCAAAACATTTGTGAAGCCACAACATGCACAACCTTGAAGTGGATGGGCTACAACAAGAGAAGACCCCTTTGGAGACCACTCATCTCCACTACAGATAGAAAAAAGAGGCTACAATTTTCAAGAGCTCACCAAAATTGGACAGTTGAAGACTGGGAAAATGTTGCCTGGTCTGATGAGTCTCGATTTCTGTTGAGACGTTCAGATGGCAGAGCCAGAATTTGGCGTAAACAGAATGAGAACATGGATCCATCATGCCTTGTTACCACTGTGCAGGCTGGTGGTGGTGGTGTGATGGTGTGGGGGACGTTTTCTTGGCACACCTTACTACCAATTGGGCATCGTTTAAATGCCACAGCCTACCTAAGCATTGTTTTTGACCATGTCCATCCATTTATGGTCACCATGTACCTATCCTCTGATGGCTACTTCCAGCAGGATAATGCACCATGTCACAAAACTCAAATCATTTCAAATTGGTTTCTTTAACATGACAATGAGTTCACTAAACTAAAATAGCAACCACAGTCACCAGATCTCAAGCCAATAGAGCATCTTTGGGATGTGGTGGAATGGGAGCTTCATGCCCTGGATGTGCATCCTACAATTCTCCATCAACTGCAAGATACTATAATATCAATGTGGGCCAATATTTCTAAAGAATGCTTTCAGCAACTTGTTAAATCAATGCCACATAGAATTAAGGCAGTTCTGAAGGCGAAAGGGGGTCAACCACAGTATTAGTATGGTGTCCCTAATAATCCTTTGGGGGAGTGTGTATATATATATATATATATATATATATATATATATATATACAGTATATATATATATATATATGAAGAGTTCAGATGCAAAAGCCTCTAAATGCCATTTGAAATTTTCTTCTTTAATGATGATTTTTATCAAACTTGTATATTTAAGTTCAGTAATTTCACTTAAATAACAATTAGTAGGTAATTATTATTACCATTTAAGTGAAATCACTGAACTTAAATATACAAGCTTGATAAAAATGATCATTCTAGAAGAAAATTTCAAATGGCACTTAGAGGCTTTTGCATCTGAACTCTTCATATATATTGGGGTCTGCAAAAACATTGACAGTTTTTTTGGTAACACTTTACAATAAGGTTACAGTAAAGGTGATTAGTTAACATTAGGTAACTGCATTAGTTAGCATGAACTAATAATGAACTGCACTAACATGAACAAACAATAAACAGCTTTATTTTTATTAAATAACATTAACAAAGTCTAACAAATACAGCAACAAATGAATTGCTTATGGTTGGTTAATGTTATGGTAAATGGACAGCATTTATATTAATGTTAGTTAACATATTAATGTTAGTTAATTCATTAACTAATGAACCTTATTGTAAAGTGTTACCATTTTTTATGCTTTGTTGTGGGTGAACTATTCATTAAATTTGAAAATTTCATTAATAAATTAGTGAAGTGCAAACTATACTGGGTTACCTTGAGGTTCTGACTCATTTACAGCCACTTGATAGACTGTCTGCTGAAATTCTGGAGCGTGATCATTTATGTCCAATATTTTGATATGAACCCCGAGCCTTGTTTCCACTTCAGTGTTTGAGTTGTTTATTGCTTCAAATGTCGACTGTAATTGAGTCCAGTGCATGTCAATATACAAGCCTTTTTTTGCAGTGTATTTACATGAACTTCAATGCTATTATGAAATTGAGTGATTTGTTTATTAGGGAGTACTTACTTTGAGAACTTTAAATCTTTCAAAGTCAACCTTTCCATGTACTAAAACATATCCTTCTTTATCAATATTGAGAATACCCTTTGGCTCTAAATCCACACCCTGACCCTTAAGCACGTATCTGACTAAATAAGACCTTTCAAGTTCAATCTGAAACACAAACAACATGCACACACATCACACTTAAGCAGTACTTGTACACATATGTAATGTGAAAAACATTATACAAATTAATTGGAACTGAACGACAAAACCGCTCACCTTGCCTAGTATATATGGAAATGGACCAGGGTTTTCTTCCTCAATAGTGAAAGAGTCAATGATCCATGCACGCTTCTGTCTGCCCCTGTCAGCCCACACACACACGGTCCAGATAAACTGAGATAAAAAGAAGTCATAAGTAATGTTACGGAAGTCATGTCAATGCGTGAATCTCACAAATTCCCAGTAGCACCTCATTGCAGTAGGCCTACACGAGATCCAGGAGGTGGAGATGGGTAGGATTAGGGGCTAGGGATCAGGAGGCGGGTAGGTTTAGGTATATGTAAGGTGGGAGGAGTTGGATCTGAATACAAGGCCTCTCCCCTGATTTCGTGTTCTGCAGTGAGGACCATCTCCGAATTCTGGCCATAAAATGTCCTATTTCACCTACATTTTCATTTCCTTCAGTGCTGGGGATTACAAATTGTAGTCCATCACTAAATACAATTTACTTTTGACCCAACTTTTTTATCACATTTATACATTTAAGTGAAATCCTTTATCATGTTGATAAAAAAAAAATTAAATACAAAAAATACAAAGAGAAAGAAAAATTATAAAATGTTTTGTTTTCAACAACTGGAAGTGCATTTCACATTACATTATGTCAGGGTTTCCCAAACTAGGGTTTGTGAAGAAAATGCAGGGGGCTCGTAAACTGATGATAAGTTAATGACAAATTAAATCTTAAACATGTTAAATTAAAATTAAACAATAAAAATAAAGCACTACTTAAAAAAATATCATATTTTATTTTATTTAATTACTTTTTTTGCTTGTCCTTGTTTTTCGAATGTCCATTTAATTATAGTCGCCTGACTAGAGGTCGGTCTGTGTTTATTCTGTAAAACTGGAAGACTTTCTGAACATGTATAAGCTTTATGCATGAATTTAAGCATATTATGAATTTACTGTCATTTTGTGAATATTAAGTAATCATGTAATCAATAAAAAAGTTACTGGTATTTTAAAATGCATATTCTAATCCTCTACAAGGATTTCATTTTTGGAATTTGATTACATACAGTAAACCTTAAGGCAAATACATCTCTCTCTCTCTTAACTTACAATTCAAACCATTCTTAAAGTGCATGCTTATGTTAATGTGCCATGATATCAAAGACATACAGGAATGAAAGACACTTTCACCACAACCAATAGTAGTAACATGTATCCAAGTCAAAACTAATTAATTAACAAACATACTTAACCTACAGTTCTTACAAAGACACATGGCAAAGGATCACATCAGCTAATCATTCAATGGACACCAAAGATTAAACGTACAGTATGCGATTTTTGGCCACCAGGGACCACTTATTTTAAATAATAACAAAAGACGTACTTTGATGACGTCGGGAAAGAGCGTGGGCTCACGGGAGTTGTTGTCGCTGTCAATGACAACCAGCTCAGCTCATGGCATGATATCATCGTTTCACAAAATATACTGATATACGGCATCTCTCTGTAGATTTAGCTTGTCAAGAAGCTTTAAATGCAACCCCAATGTTTACCTGTGTCATGCTTTTTCTCCTGTCCCAAACCCTTCTCGGGTCATACTTTTCACCCGTATGTTTGAGCTTTACTGAGCTGGCTGTAGCAGCAGAACGTGCAGGCAAAGCGTAATCGTGGTCCATATATAATACAGACGAATATAAATATTTATATTACGCCCCTTCAATGAATGACCTATTTTAGAACATTTCTCATATATAGGGCGCACCGGATTATAAAGCACACAAGATACTGCAGTCAAACGTTTGACTGGGTTTGCGTCATGCATCCACTATGTGCTAAAGGCTAAAGGGAATGTAATGAGTACGCGGCGCTGGAGGTGAGGCGTTTATTTTGTTAGCATGAGCGCGCTGAAGCGGGCACATACATTTGCAGCCTGACTCATATGAGTATTCAATGTGCGCGGCTCGCTAACAGCAACAGTTGGCTGTTTTGAATGAGACGACCCGGTTACTGTGAACGGGGAGCGCTTTATGCGCGAGCAGCACCGGGGACAGTGTCTGTTAATAGTGAGCGCTCGTGAGCGGGCACGTGATTTACACACATAAAAATACGTACTACTTTTTTTTTCTTCGTCATTTTCTTTGCTTTATTGGCGGTAGTCTAGTGTTCCCCTTTGTGTTTGGCGCTTTCGCCGGGTTCCGCAAGGAAGTTAGAGAAAATAGAGGAGTCAAAGGTTATATGACGCCATAGACGGGCGACGAAACGGAAATAAAGAAACGTCCCGTGTCTTCGAATTAAACTATAAATTTCTCCATATTTGAAAGTTGGTGGAAACTGTCGGTATAATGTAAGTACACATCTAATAGAAACATATAACATAGATACAGTTATTTTTGCTATTTTTAAAGCAGAAAAAATACATATTGTGGCTTTAATTGGCTAATTGTACATAAACCTGGATTTCAACTGACTTTATACAGTGTGATAGACTTCTGCAACATGAACACTATCTGTCTTGGAATATATGAGCAGAGGAACATGAGCCGGCGTGATGGCTTGCAGTACACGATGATATAGCTGTATCTTATGGAAGCTTGTTTCCGCCATAGAATGAAAAATATAAAAGGTGATTGCGACCTTTTATCTCACAATTCTGACTTTTTTCCTCACAATTGCGAGATTACTTCGAGTTGCGAGTTATAAAGTCAGAATTGCGAGTTATAAAGTCAGAATTGCGAGATATAAAGTCGCATTGGCGTGTTATAAAGTCAGAAATGCATGATATAAAGTCAGAATTGTGAGGTATAAAGTCAGAATTGTGAGATTTAAACTATTCTGAGGGGGAAAAAAGTTAGTCTTTTTGTGAAAAAAAGTTAGTCTTTTTAGTTAGTCAGAATTGTGAGATAAAAAGTCGCACTTATGTCTTTTTTTCTCAGAATTGAGACTTTATATCTCGCAATTCACACTTTATATCTCGCAATTCTGACTTTATATCACGCAATTCTGACTTTATATCTCACAATTCTGACTTTATATGACGCAATTGCGACTTTATATCATGCAATTCTGACTATATCTCGCAATTCTGACTTTATATCACGCAATTGCGACTTTATATCTCACAATTCTGACTTTATAACTCGCAATTATCAGTAGATTTAATTAGAAATCTTTAAATTTACTAAAATTTACTTGAAATATGGAATTAAGTAAACTTTACAGAAAATACGCAATTTTAACTTGGCTAGTAAAAGGTTGATTAACATATGGCATGATATAAATTACTTAGAGATGATCTAAGTAAAGCACATACTATATATGACCAATAAAATTCAATATTTGTTGTTTTAGGGAAATGTAATGCAAAGGGAAAGGAAATTTCAACTAAATCGATATTAAGCATCATGTGAATGCAAAGACCTCAATACTTGGTAGACAATACACAATGGCAGTAACATTTGACCAGTAAAAAATGAACCTCATTAATTATTCAAGGTCCAGTGCATATGGGAACCCCAGTATCAGAAAGGTTGAGTAATTTTTACTTAATTTTATTGAGTTGATATTTACACTTTCATTTCTACTCACTTGAATTAAGTACTGATATGGAATTTACTTAGTTTTTTAAATTCTTGCCTGAAATAACTTTTTCATGTAAATTACATTGTTTTTTGTCAGTAGTATTTACTTCACCAAAAAAATAATTTTTTACAGTGTTGAACTCACCAGCACCAGGAGTAAACTAACAGAAAGGGTCTTCATGTTGAAGCAGATCGTCAAGCAATCCAGTGTGAATGAGTTCCCTTCTTTCTCATAGAGCAATAGTGTTCACTGCTCAAATAACAGATGGGAGAGGGGAGGAGATATTCAGATCAGGGAAGGCAGGGACTGGCTCAGTGCTATTTTACTCTGTTATTTGATACAATGTTATTTATTTGTGTGTGTGTGTGTGTGTGTGTGTGTGTGTGTGTGTGTGTGTGTGTGTGTGTGTGTGTGTGTGTGTGTGTGTGTGTGTTTGTTTGTTTTTTATTAGTTTTATTGAAGTTTAGTTTATTTAGGTTTAGTTATTTTAGCCCTTTTCTTAAACTAAACCAAAATGAGAAAAATTGCTTTGGCAACTATGGCTGAAATAAAATACGCTTAATTATAATGTTATGTTGACATGCAGTAGAAAAAATACACATCATATCCATAAATAAAGAATTCCTTCCATAGTTTCAGTTGAATCATGGCCACATTGTACTAATTCATTTCCCCCCTTTTTTTATTTAGTCAAATTAGTACAAAGTGACAGATTCATAATTCATGCTTCGTAATCCAACAACAATCTCGTCAACAGTAACATTGAACTCAAATACTAAAGCAAAGCATGCATGTTAAATGCCTATATTAATGTTTTAACCTCTGCACATCTTAATTTCTTGATTTCACCATGAACAAAAGCTAAACAAAATTAGCTATAATATGAAAGTAGATATTTCACTGCAGTGACAATTTTATTTAGTTTAATTTACTTTATTTTACTTACGATAATGACAAATTTGAAAGAAAAAATGCATTTAAGATATGCATAAAATTGTCTGTTATTTCATAAAAAAATAAAATAAAATAAAAAACACTGGAAAAAAATGTATAAAACCCTCTTTTTTAGTATATTACACAGTATTAATTAGAAAAATGTGCTGTTGTAACCTTGGGGAGCTGCTTAATTACCAGTCTTTGGAAACATTGTTGAACACTAAATGACGAAAACGTTCTGACGCAAGGCACACCTAATTCCACAAAACAGGCAGACAATGTTATCAGAGGGTGTCATCCGAGAACTTGGCTGCAATTTTCCTGCGCATCACTGCATGGTTCCTGAGAACTGAACAGGCTTGGCAAGTTAACACACGTTAAGTGAGTCTATTATTTGTATTTTACAAATATTACCTTAGCAGTCCTTATTTGGTCAACTGTGTGATGTTACAGTATGTCAGTTGCTGAAATGTAACATTATTAAAAAAACATGGATATTGCTATGTTTGTAACAAGTTAGCTTAAAGGGGAAATATTTATAATCAATCATAACTTGTTATGATTGATTATGAATATTTGGGTCAGTTACTTGGATTTGCATTTGTAGCCATTGCATCTTGGAAAAGGAGTGTCAAACATTGAAGTTGCATTAGTTTTCTTCTCCGTTGGATGAAGAAGATATGATGAACTTGCATGGATAGTTAGCCTATGTTCTGCATGAAAGTTTTCTTTCACATGGCTGAGCACATGCAGATTGTGACCTGCCGGCAGAGAGGCTACGCAGGCAATCAAGGAATGAGGAAGTCGGAAGAGTTTGTTGCCCATTCAGTGTTGGTAAAGTTGCAGCTTTCTTCTGAGTTGGATTGAAGAAATAATGTCTGACTCTGTTGGGAGAGTGAAGGCATAGCAGGCTGTGGTCACAGCATGGCCCCTGGTGGGGGGTTCCCACAGACATCAACATACCTGTCAAGTATCCTGTTTTGTCCAGGAAAGTCCTGTATTTTACCCTTCTTTCCCGCCATCCTACCGTATTAGTATTTTCCCATAAATCTTCTGTAGTTTAACCTGCATTATTAAAAAATAATAATACCCCGGTCCCGGGCGGAGTAAAATAAAAACAAACAAAAAAAAAAAAAACATACAAACATACAACAGGTACTTTAGGTGGCAGTTATCGTGAGGTTAGTGTGTGAGGTCAGATCAGATTGTGAGTGACAATGCGAGGAAAACAAAAAAAGCGTGGACTGGAGGCACAAAAACATGCCCAGGTGATGTCAGCATTCGTGACGAGAAATGCCACCGAGGCAGACCAGGTCACCCGTGCAGAGGTAAAAATGCCAATGCTGTGTGCCAAAAACAACTTTTCATTCTCCTTTCACGACGACTTCAAACAAGTGTGTAGCTGACATGTTCCTGGACTCTGCTATTGCACGGAAATACTCAAAGGGAAAAACTAAGGCTATTTTTCTAGCCTTATTAGCCTTATTTTTCTTAAGGCTAATTCCTCAAAGGTAAGTTGGCATGGCATGCATGTTGTAGGCTAACTTACTAGTTAATTACTGGATACTCAACAGGTGCCATAGCAGCAGAACTAGAGGATGAGTTGGTCAAAACATGCCGATCTCAGCACCTTTCACTGATGTGGGACGAATCGAACAACAGAAAAACAGACCAAGAATTCGTCATCCTGACTAGACTCTACGATGAGGCCACTCTGTAGGTCGCTACAAGATTCCTGGAGATGCCTATATGCAATGTAGGAAATGCAGAAATTCTATGTGAAGCATTGAAGGCACACTACGTATTTTTTCAACCTTTATAATATCTTACCAAAACCCTTGAGATGGTACATCGACTTACAATAGTTTGAATGACATATCTGCCATAGCCTGACAGTGTCTATATCGCTTTTACCTGCACTATTTAACTTTGCATAAATAAAAAATGATAAAACACTGGTCTGGACGGAGATCGTATTTGTTTTAATTCTCCGTTTTTAAACGAAAACGTGTGGACGGGGCCTTACAGTCAGCTCAGGCCGACGGTGTTTTCAGTGCAGTAAATGTGTCCGCTGTCCCCAACCCACATTCACTCAAAGACATGTTAAGCCCCACGGGGCTCACCACGCTTGCGCTCTCTCAGCAGACTGCTATAAGGGAGTCGAGCGCGTAAGGCTTCCTGATTTACAGTAAACACTGCAAGCACACACACAATCTAAAGACACGGGAGGCTGACCGGTTGACTGTTTGTTGACTTTTGCGACAGTGCTGCAGCGCTTGTGGCCTAGGGACGCTAGTGGCTACGCCTATTATAAGAGTTTATATTCAGACTATTTTATCCCAGGGTCGACTCGGATGCGGAGTTGCCCAGTGGAATTGAGGAAAATGCAGAAGGTAAGGAGTGTGAGTTTTCAGATTTTGTTACAACTACACGTTTTTTTTTATTTTTTATTTTTTTAAGAAACAAAGCAAATACAAACAAATCAGGAACAATTTCCAATCTTACTACAAACTTACAGTGCTTAGAAAAGAAAAAAAAGAAAAAAAATAATAAATAAATCAATAAATCATCTTAAAAGAACAGAAGAACATGGAGCATGTCATGGAAAAAATGACATTTACATATTCAAAAGAAATTAAAATAAAAGGGCAATTATTTAATAAGATTGTTTACAAAAGAAGCAAGTTTCTCAGCTTTCTTGTTATTAATAAATAACAAAGAGTTAAAAAAAATCAGCTCATTTGTCCAATGAGTAATGTCAGGAATTATCTTGTAAAAACAACATTTATGAATGAAATGTTTACTTAAAAGAATTACATTGTTAATGCCAAAATCATTGTGATCCTTACGAAAAAATACCGAATTTTATATCATTAATTCTTAAATTCATCATCTGAAATCCTTTGGAGACGAACAATTGTTGATCCAGATCTTTGGGTTCAGCTTCACAGAAGTTACAATTTCCTACATAAATTTTAAATGTTTGTTTTAATAAGTCTTTAGTCGTATAGATCTTATTTATAATTTTGAATTGAATTTATTTTATCTTTGGCAGGACAGAGAATTTTAAGTATTTACATCTGATCATTTTTAATTTTCTCCTTTTCAAAGTCTTTAAAGTCCCTGTAAAGGCAATTCTACAAAAAAGTTCTAAACACATTATAAATGTTACATATGTTTTGCAAAAACATATTACAAAGACTGTAAACTGTGAAGTACTGAAATGTGCAGTTAGACCGTTAAACAGTTTTTCACCATTGCAATTTTACGGATTGTTTGGGCGGGGCTAAAACAGGGCTCGATGATGCACTGGAGCCCATGAGCTCCCGGAGATGCCCCTATTTGATGACGCACAGAGTCTGATCTCTTCCCTAACACACAATAACACTCCCAGAGCACATTCGCATTCACCGCTCAATCGCGAGTGACTGTCAGTACAATTAGTTACTACAGCTGAGCCTACAGTTTTCTAGCTAGCGATGCCTTCAACACAGAAATGCATAGGCTACTACCTGAATGAGATCATGTACAAAACAGATCGGTATCTTTATTTAAATTCCCTAAAAACGATCACATCAAGAAGAGGTTTTTAGAGAGCCAACCTTGATGAAGAGCTGAGGATCACCGCCAACATCCGCCTCTGTAGTGATCATTTTACACAGGATCGTTTTATAAACTTTCCAGTGACAACTGGGATTCACTGATAATCCGCTGTTGCTGGTGAATGGGGCCGGACCGACTATCTCCCGCCTCAGCGTTCATTCTCCCGTCCCGAAAGCAGTATCAGCTAATATCACTGTCGACTCAAGCTTTCCCCCGAGTGGGCGTGGTTTCCACGCAGCCAGCGGACACGCCCCCAGGGTTTGAGAACAGAGATAACTGCTCATTTTTTCAAGATTTTGATAGCTTATTTTATGTACTTACCGACTTTTTTTATCATTCAAATTTGGCTGGGTGGCTAATAACACATTTTTCTGTGGTGTGACAAACTCAGAACACATACTTAATTTTGACTTTACAGGGACTTTAAGAATATAATCTCTTTTAAGAGAACTTGTTTGGCAGTTAAGTAAACAATTCCTTGTTGTTACACTTGTAATTCAGAAAATTAATATCATTAATATACATTTACATTTAGTCATTTAGCAGACGCTTTTGTCCAAAGCGACTTACATCTGAGGACTAAATCAAACAAGTCATTGTTGAGAGGCAATAACAACACAAGAAGTGCTCCAAATACAAAGTTCAAAGATTGCTCAGAGTAGTATAAACCAGGCAAGTAAGGATTTTTTTTATTATTATTATTAAAGTGCTCACGGAAGAGATGAGTTTTCAATTGTCTATTAAATGTTGTCAGGGATTCTGCATTCCGGATGATGATGGGCAGATCATTCCACCAGCATGGAACCGTGAATGAGAATGTTCTTGAGAGGGATTTTGTGGCTATTTGTGATGGTACCACGAGCCCTCTCTCATTGATCGATCGTAGGCTTCTGGTAGGGATGTAGACTCGTAGGAATATAATATAAAGTTGTCTTAAGGTGGGCGTGACTTTTGAATATATTATGCTTAATCAGCTACAAGTGATACTGGGAAAGCTTTCACAATCTGTTTAAACTTCTTTTGGGTACATCTAATTTGAAATTTTTCACAGAATTCAACATGTTGAAAACATATACTTCATTAACACTTACTTTTGAGGGGCAAGCACTGCCCCTCAAAAGCCCCTGCAATGTGAGTTTCGCCGGGAAAGCTTGCTCTTGAGGGAGACGCGAGTAAGGGACTGTGTGGAAAGTGCACTTTTTTTGACACGTTTGTTCAAACACTATATACAATTTTCAACACTTGACAAGCTAACCCTGGTGATGGGTGTTCCGTTGCCGACAGTCTCTGCCTACGGTTTACCAAATAACAACTGACTGGGTCAAAAATATGAACATTTCAAACGCTATGATAGGGGCTCTTTAAATTTCCAAAATTTCCACATGTTGATTTATCTGTAGGTTCTGAGACTAGTTCTTCGAAACAATGATCTGATAAAGGTGCATTAGACATAGTTGTCTTTGTAACATGACTCATTATATTGTCAGTACCCAACCAATAATCTATCCTAGACTCACAGCTTCCATTTGGTTTAAACTGTGAAAAAACTGTTATTCCTGGGTATATTTTTCTTCAAATATCACTCAAATTATTATCAGCCATAGAGTTATTAACTAGGGTATTGGGGTTTTCCAACTCTAGCTGGCCACCTATCAAGCCATTCATTAGGAGTCATGTTCCAATCCCCTCACACATAAAATATAATCTGTAGGATATCGACCTTTGAGCTCAGAAATCACCTTTGTTATATCATCTAGCACTGACTTATTTTGGTTATCATCATTATTATACCAATAACCTTCAATTTTCACCACAGCTGTCAACCAATGTCCTTCAGAGTCAGTCCGATGTGTGATAACTTCCCCAGGAAAGTAATGAAGCAAATCGCTACTCCTCTGGATCTTGAAGAGCCGTGACTGAACAAGATTTTCCCACCCAATTGATTCAACCAGAACGATGCATCAGCTCCTGATGAATGAGTTTCTTGTAAAAAAAAAAAAAACAGTGAGATTTTTGCCCTTTACAAAATAAAAACAATGCCTTTCGTTTAACAAGTTCTTTCAAGCCCCTACCATTTAAAGAACCAAAAGAAATTTTAACATAAACTAACAAGAACAAAAAAAGATATATATATATATAAAAGGATACTTTTGCCTGTACTACTGATTAAGAAAATGAAGAAAGTCTGTATTCCGTTGTCCTCAACACGACGCCCATCAATATACGCGCAGGATCCCCAGAAAAGGCTCACACCTTTCTTGCTTGGTCAACCAACAGCCACAAACGCTCTTGTGGTTCTAAATCCTCTTTGGGTAACATCTCCGCAAAGCTGATACCTTCCATCCTGCATACTGGAGAGTCTTTGGTTTTCAACCATATTTCATCCTTCACATGTCTCAGTGCAAACAGGATAATGACTTGACTGGTGTGGTTATCCTCTCGTTTGCCAAGTCTATGTACAACATCCACCGCGCGTTCCATATCTTCCGCACATTCTGGGGCAATTTTCTTCAGTATGGGAATGATGGTCGCTCTGAGGTTTTCATTTTTTTAACTGCTTTAGACCCCTCATTTGGAGACACGGCCTCATACTATATCGTTTCTGTTCCATCACTTTCTTCTTCAGTTCTGTTTTCCTCCACTAAAAGGCAATTGGCCCTCTCCAATTTCAACATTTTCTTTTTAACCTCATTTAGTTCTTCCGAGTTGATTTGTACGGTTTTGGTTAAACTGGCAATCATGGCGGTGTTCTGACGGTTTTGTTCTTTGATGTCTCCTAACTGCGACTCAATTCCAGTCACACGTTTTACCAGCTCCAATATTGCTTCCAAAATATCGTTATTTGAAGCTTGAGGATGATCATTCTCAATGAGGGGCCACGTTTTCAAGTTTTCATTATAAACTTTGATAATCAACAATCTGTATTAGCTTATTATAATACTCTAATCTTTTAAAATGCAATGCATAGATTTGAACGTTTAATGTTTTTTAATAGATAGAAAGATATGCTGATAGAAAGATGATGATATCATGAAACATTTTCATCCACAAGCAAAAGTGGCTTACTGCTTTTTTCCCTCTTTTTCTTGTTGAATTTCAGTCCTATAAATGACACAAAAAAAAAACATTTTTTAAATGTATTATAATGAATTATTTAAAACTGCAGTCCGCAGTTTTTCCTCTTTGTCCCCATCTCTGTTCGAAATCTGCAATTGCAGTAATTTGCGGAATTATAAACTTTACGTGAGTTGTAGATCGACATGGTACAGCGCGGATGAACACAATGTTTGAGGAGACTGTGGATACTGTCATTCAAAATCACAGATTATTCTTTTTGGAAGTATGACCAACATAAAAATTTCACCAGCAAATCTCATCTGAACAAGAAAGTAACATCCGGTTTTGTTCTGGTTCTGACATTGGAGTAAATCGTGCTGATTAAATCTAAAAATCGTATCATATAACGTAAAACCGTGCAAATTATACTGTTATCAAATTGTCAATGTTAACAATGTCAGCATTGCATGACTACATGTATCCTAACGATATCCTTGTTTTCGCATGGGTCCGGTTGCAGTTTTTTTATTTCTGTAGCCACTCCGAAGTCTGAACGAAGTCTTTAGCATTTTAGAGCAGGTGAACCTGTTGTCACTGGTGATTGTCGTTTGAACCTTTCTGGATCCGCCATCAAATTGATAAGTTCCCTTTCGTCCTGGGAACTCCAACGTGTCGTCCTGGGAACTCCCCGACGTTCCTGCTATTAATTTCCTGCTATTAAATTCAGATAAAACGGAGGTATTACTTATTGGTCCAAAAAACTATCACAACTATCACTTTCACAATACAACTTTAACATAGACGGATGTCCTGTTACTTTATCCACTACAGTAAAAGACCTGGGTGTTATACTAGACCGCAACTTGTCTTTGGAAAATCATATTTCACATGTTACAAGAACAGCCTTTTTCCACCTTAGAAACATTGCTAAGCTACGTAACATGCTATCTGTTTCTGATGCAGAAAAATTAGTTCATGCATTCATGACCTCGAGACTAGATTACTGTAATGCTTTATTAGCCGGTTGTCCTGCATCCTCAATAAACAAGATACAGTTAGTACAAAATGCAGCTGCTAGAGTTCTTACTAGGTCAAGAAAATATGATCATATAACACCGATTTTATCATCTCTACACTGGTTACAAATTCCGTATCAACTACAAAGTACTGACCTATAAAGCCCTAAATGGTTTAGCTCCTATGTACTTAACGGACCTTCTTTCGCCCTACAATCCACCGCGTTCCTTAAGATCACTAAATTCAAGGCTTCTGGTCATTCCTAGGATATCGAAGTCCACTAAAGGAGGGAGGGCGTTCTCGCATTTAGCTCCAAAACTCTGGATTAGCCTTCCCGATACGGTCCGAGGCTCTGACTCGCTGACAAAGTTTAAAACTAGATTAAAGATGCATCTCTTTAGTCAAACATTCACATAATGCTTACCTTTTAGTCCTCTGTTATGCCATGCGGAACCGTTTGCCACTGAAACGCATTACCGCGACAGTGGGGCTCGACAGTCAAACGCGTCGGCGCGTATGGTTGGGTTGCGGAGAGTTTGGGTTGCGGAGAGTTTGTGAGATAGTGGTTTTCTAACACTGACTCCTGTATAATGGAAATCATTATGAACATCAGCTATGCTAATTATTTCCCATCTGCCTTTCTGCTGTCATCTCGGGACGCTTGTCCCTAGAAAAATAGTGTTCGTCAGGTCCAGTTTTGTATCCAGCCTCTCACGGGGATTTCAGATGCCCCAGCGCCTGTGATGAGAAGACCAACGCCTGTGAAGAGACGAGTCAACGCCGGCGATATGTTATGGCGCCGTTTTATACATAAACAATAATTATATTTAATATTTATATATAAACAATATGAATGTTAGCCAGAGGAGAACTGGCCCTCGATTGAGCCTGGGTTCTCCCAAGGTTTTTTTCTCACCGGTCCCAGACGCAGTACTGAAGGAAAATGAAATTGAGCGGAAGTGCGTAGGCGGGCGCAGCCAGGCTACCAATTAGTAGCTTACAGAATTGTTCTAGAGTGGGGGTTGAAAGGAACACAGCTGGGAAGAGGCAACCGACATGTTCTTCCATCCTGTGTAATGACCAGCATCCGAAATAAATACCCTTCAGACACCGGGCAATATGTTGGATTCAGGGAAGTACAAGATGCTCTGCGATTGTTCTGAACACATAACTATAGTAGGCAGCTAGAAAACATTTGCTACTGCACCTCATCTTTTCAATTAATCAAATCCTTTATGTATAAAAAAAAATAACACATACAAACACATACATTGGGTTACAGATGAAACAGTACGATTTTGATGTTAGCTTTATTTTATTTTACTTTGTAATATAAACAATTACACCTAAGAGTGGATTTAGACAAATTGTTGTAATGTTGTCAGTACTTAAATTACAATAAAATCAATGGTTCAATATAAAGAAGTGTGTTGATGACCTTGTGTTTTTACAAATGGTGGCACAGTATTTTGCACCACAATAAGATACAGTTAGGCTTTTATTTTCTGCTTGTATTTGAAAATCGTGAGACATGCCGTGATATAATTTTATCTTTGTCCGGTCTTGAAGTGTCGGCTATGTTTTTGTATATGGTGTCTGGTTGCTGGATATAAGAATTAGGATCTGCAAACTTCACGGTACTGGCGCCTTTGCAGGACCCGCTCCACAAGATCCTTCCTGAATGTCTGCCTGGTTGTCTCGTATCTTTTCCTGGCAAACCATCTTTTTATTTGTTTCGGAAAGACCAAATCATATCTTGCAGTTCCTAGAGGTAGTAAAACACAGCAATATAAACATACCAAGGATTGGCTAGTAAATTTACAATGTACTTGAAACATAATCAAGTAATGATGGCTTTGGGTTTTGCAGTTATGCATTATGTGTAGACTTACCATCAGTGGTTTTTGCTTGCTGACGGCCAACATTCTCGTTGTGGTCCATCACAGAGAGTAGAGTACGTGCCTTCATAGAGTTGTAGCTGAAGTGTAGCCTCTTCGGAGTGTACTTCAGCATTGCACTGTGGTAAACTTCCAGGTCTCCTGCAGTTTTTATCAGATGGATAGTACCTTGTGAATGTAACTTAAAATGTTGATATTTTAAAAATTCGTAAAAAGACGTTAGATATTTATTTTATGTCTTCATTGTTTGTATCACAAACATTTACACAGCAAAAACTTTCAATGGCAGCTATGCAACTCACTAAAGCACGGATATCAGCATGTTGTTTTAGGTAAAGCACTAAAAATAATCTTTAATCTAAAAACAAATTTGTGTAAATGATCAACTAAATGTGACCACCATACATACAGTACCTGTATGTTTGAAGAGAGTCATGTGTTTGAGGTCTTTCAACAGGTTCTTGTTAAGTACGTGGTCTGACAGTGTATTGAAAGCAGCAGAGTCTGTTTGCAGCCATTTCTTTCTTCTCTGCTGATCTTCAGTGAGTTCTTGATGGTAGTAAGTCCTCTCCTCTCCATCTTCCTCCCACCGATGGATGCCACAAATGTGATGCAGAATTGACGTTTCAATTCCTGCCAAAGCATATGCGTTTTAGGGCAACAAAACAAATAATGCTTTTTGCTTAGTACAGAATAAAATAAACACATCTCATCAATTTACCTCAGCATCACCACCACATGACTGACAACACCACCAAAAGTGATTATTAATTGCCTTGATCCAAGGAAGCAGATCATTGTTTTTCTTATTTTTAGCAGCCGCAGTCAACTTTTTCTTCAGTCCTAAGTAATAAAATCACAATGAGGGAAGGGATGAGAGAGGAGGGGGTGGGGGATGTTTCAACATAGTCAGATTGCAATTAGTAGAAAGCTTACCTGTGGCAACATGCCATGGGTCAAACTGATGCTGGATGTCAGAGTAGGTCTCTCTCATAAGCTTCCTGATAGAAGGAGAGCGGTCTGTGGTGATGGTATCTACTACAACTCCTGCCTGAAGCAAACGCTCCAGACATCTCCGAAATCCCAATATCTCCATGGCTGGTGAACTGGTTGCCTCTGTTACCTTTATAATGACAATCAGTATAAATGTTTACACATGCACTGAGAGTACAAGCAGTATATACATTGCTGGGTTTTTACCTGAACTAACTCAACCATGATGATTTCCTTTGTTTCATCACTCATGAAACTGTATGTAGTGTACTTGGCACTAAATCCAGGTGAATCAGAACGACCATCACCGCAGATTGAAATCCCACCAATTGTCTGTAGTTTTTTCAATATCTCTTTGTGATGGTCTTGGTATGCATACTCAATCACTGGTATGAGGTAAGTAGACTGCAGGGAGTAAAATGTAGTCTTTTTTGGAATTTGGAGATTCAGTAGCTCAGCCCAATCTAAGACTTCTGTATAAGTTGAACCTGTGAACAGGATGGATGAGGCAACCAGCAGGTTGTTTTTTGGCATTCCACGCAGTTGAGGACATGACTCCCATTCCCCTGAGTGTCCATTTAAACAGCTCCACTTGATGTGTATACGTGTCCCAGCAGTGGTCACTTTCTTGTATTCCTCTTCAATTAAAAAAAACACACTGGTGGCATGTTGTGAAGAGCTGCATTAGCTTGGACTCGTTGACAATCCATTTATTTTCTGACCAGTTCTTGGCTCCTTCTGCCGAGGATATGTCAGACTTGGAGGAGCTAGAGGTGCTGCTCAGTGGAACAAAGGAGCTGTCAACTCGGTGACTTGATGGGGCTTCAACTGATATCATACTCAGGTCCAGTGGGTTGTCATCTTCAGCTATAGCTTTCTTTTCCTTTATAAACCACAAAAGTAAAAAAAAAATGTTTAAAGGGGTCATGAACTGGCTTTTTAAATGTTATTATATTGTTGTCTGAGGTCAACTTATAACGTTCGCTTGGTTTTTGCATTCAAAGACATCAAAATGAACAAGTAATAGGCTATTTTGTACCCTGGTTGTGAGCCTACCTAAAAAACAGTCGGTTTTTATGGGCGTGTCGCACTGAAGACTTGGAAGTAAACACCCACTGCTGCGAGTGGAGAACAGTTTTGCATATTATAATGAGTTTCACTCACCCTTCGGTGTACGTGGGGGAAAACGTCCTATGTTGTCAAATGGCAACCGGATTCGCCCATACATGTTCAACCCAGAGTCCGTGTGTTGCACAATATTCCTGTCAGATCCAATATAGATGGATGACAAATGGATGGATGTCAATGTTGACAAAACAATCCTCAGTGAAATGAAGCGAACAGACGACGTTTTTTTAACCTCATCAGCTGAAACGTCATTAAAAATAAATTATCCATGCAGTCCTATTGGAATCCACAGGAAGCTTATGCAGCGACTGTCTTGCACAACCAGGCACTGCACAATATTCTGGATTGCTCCATAGCGATCCAGTTTGTCATCAAGGTAAGCATGTATGATACTTATGTGTGTAATGCGCGAATCGGTGGGTGGGGCTAAACCTGCCGTGGTGAA